CTTCGTCTCTCGTTCCCTTTGGAAAGAAAATAAAGGAAGGAAAATTGAATTCAATAAAAAAATGGAAGGAAAGAAAAAAAAATTAGGCCTTGTTTGTTTACTTTTTTTTCTGAAACACTTTTTTGTTTTCTAAAATTTGTTTGTCTCTTAAGTCATTTCAAAGTTTGTTCCCTGAGCACATTTTTGTTTTATAAAAGTGTATGTCGCACTTGAAGGAAATAGAAAAAATGAGTGAAAAAACATTTCTCACTTGGTTCTGCTTTTTGGTTTTTAAAAGCTTGTTTCAAAACAATTTTCAAATCTTAATAGATTTTTAATGAGAAATTGATTGTTGAGTAGTATAGAATTGTTTTAGAAAATAGATTTTAAAACAAAATATTGAGAAGGGAATCAAAAAGACTCTTTTAAGTTTTTGTTCTTAAATGTCATCTTTTTTCTGTATTTCTTTCCATTTTCTCTTGAACCAAATAAAAGAAAATGCATCGCTATTTGTGTTTTCTTCCTCTGTATTTTCTTTCCCCTCATCCAAACAAATCATTTGCATGGCTCAGGAATTTAGGTTTGTGTGTGATATGATGACGTATTTCTATTCTATTGAATTTCAGTAGTTGGTTAGTTGCTACATATTTATCAGGTTGCTCCTTTTTTTTCTTGGTTTTTTCACACTAGAATATTGAATGATGTGGTCGTAGGGCAGGAAGATCTGTCTATGGTTTTTGCATTAGCAGGCACATGGGCAATGTTCCTTGCATTTGGCAGTGTAGCTTGTGTTGGGCCCATATCATACACTGTTGGCATGGCTTATCAAAATGCATTCGATTCAGGCTTATCACTTGGTAGTGAAACACCTGTACTAGGGTTTCTGGCCTTGGTGAACAGCCTTATTTTCATTGGGCTGGGTTTTGTCATCGGCTACCCTGTTGCTTCTGCTTCAGGTAAAAATATTTTTGCTGCTTTTCCCTTCATCATCTTATGCCTTAATCTTCAAATTTGTACTTCACAAAATATCTCAAATGCCCCCTTATTTTAGTTCAATTGGGAAATTGATAGGTCCCAAACAGAAATCCTTGTAGGAAAATTTTCATTCTGTAACCCCAGAAAGTTAAAATATTCAATCATTGAAGACATTCTCACTGTTTCTATATCTGTATTTAATTAACTGTCCATTTTCACAGTTAAGGTGCTTCAAGGCCTTTGGAGGAATGACTTGGTGGCCCTAAAAGGTGCATGTCCAAATTGTGGAGAAGAGGTCAGTCATTGTGATAACCGTCATATAAGCCCTTTTGTTTCTTTTCCATCTCGTCCCTCAACTTGTGTCAATATCTGTCCAGCTTGTATACAGAAGGTTTAATTTCGCTGCGCACACTGAGTTGGATTCATTTACTTTTTTCAGGTATTTGCATTTGTGAGAATGGACAGGAATATTGACTCGCCTCACAGAGCAAATTGTCATGTGTGTGAGTGCTCATTAGAATTTCGCACAAAAGTGGAGGTAATAATTTATATAGTTTTATTTTTTATTTTTTAACATTTTGCAAAAGGCTGTTTAAAAAGCTCAAAACTGTTAGTTATTTCTGCTTTAATTAGAGATAGTTGAAAATGGCAGTGCTATAATTTGCAATGCATGTTGATGACGTGCATGGTAGAGAATATTTGTTTCTCTTCCATTTTTCATCTTTTACATGCATCCACCAAATGATGTTGCACTTTGCATAACACATGGTTTTACTGTTTTTCAGCAATCAGTCTCAAGATTTGGTAGACAGTGGGTTTATGGGCGTATTTATCTTGTTTCACTAAGAGGCAGGTCCCTACGCCAATAACAGCTGTGAATTTTCTTCCCAGAGTATGAGACTTGCATGTGTGTAGTGTATAGTAAGGATCAGAATATCATCAATTCCTTCCTTATTTTTAGTCTGAAACAGTTTTGCCTGAAACCAATTTGAAATACTTGTCATAAGGAAGAAGTCGAGATGTTAATTGATGGACAACTAATTTCTTTTATTTGATTGCATGTTAGTGTTATGCAAGATTTTGGAGGTGAAATTTGATAAGCAAACTCTAAGCCTTTTCATTTGATATCAAGATCTCAAATACAATTTCCATTTTTATTTGATATTCTGATCCAATAGAATTTTTAGGAGTATTGAATTGTCTTGACAATTGATATCTCATGTAAAGCAGAATCTTGATTGTCATGTATACAAGATGAGCTCTGTATTTTTTATTTTTTATTTTTACCTTGTAGAAACACTTGTGATCAAATATGAAATGTCAGAGACGGAGTTATATGTCAACTTCATTATTTATTATTATTGTTGTTATGTGCGTGGGTACTAATGCCATGATACCCAGTGCCGTTGTTGCTTCATAGTTGATGATGCTGATCGCAGAAATTGAATCTGACTCCATATGTATTTGTCTAAAGTCTCTACTCCATGCAAGGTTAATCCCATGGTACAGGGCCCAAATTTCAGCTCGGGTAATGGTGCATTCCCCTAAAGAAAAAGCAAAGCCAAGAATTAAATTTTCCATCACTATCCTTCATTCCCTTGAAACTCCAACAACTGAACCATCATGATTCAGTGATTCACAATTGACTTTCACCCACCCTTCTTGTGGTGGAGTTCAGCTAATACCATCCTTATTAAGTAAAAGGTGATTTGGCTTCAACAGGGGACTTATTAGCTGATGCAGCTTGGAGATATTGTATATTCAGGATTTTGGCCTTGTGAGCTACTGTAGTTGGAGATTGATCCTTTCCTGAAAAAACCAGATCATTTCTACTCCTCCATGGAATATCTATGGCTATTCCAAACCAGCTTGTCCAATGCCTTTGTTACTGATTCCTTTCATTTAAATTCTGCATCAGCTATTGAAGACTAGAATTTGTGAAAAAAAATGGAGGAGAGTTGGTAGCCAGCAAGCTTGTTCCACGTTCCAAAAGCACAAGGGCAATCTCTAACAACATCCAATGTTGCTTCAGTTGTGATTCTAGTTACCTTTCCAGTTACTTTATTATTATCTTTTTTTATAATGTTAGTGGCGTGCGTTTCTTTAGACCGGGCCACCACTATGAACACTATGTGTCTGTTCCATTATATATGATATGATATCCACAATTGTAAACCCAAAGAAAATGGTTTACATAGCAGTCTCATTTTCAAAATTCAAGAATAATTCTTTTCACTTAGTGCGTGTTTGGTAATACGTTTGGGATCCACGTTTTCTCCTATTTTCACGTTATAACGCAGCAAAAGCAACTAATAGTTGCTTCTCAAAATCAAGTCGAAGTTTTCAAACAACAGGCTATTAGAGGTGAAATCAAAGATTTCATGCAGCATTGTTTAGATTTTTCGAAGTCTGCCAATTTGAACTTCGGTCACTAATTTTTATTTAGCTCATGTTTATCTCCTGCCTGAAATCAAATTTAAAGAATGCTTAAATTGTCAATTTCGTTTCTTTCTAGATAAAATATGCTTTTATTAAATTTGCAAGAAATTAAACGTGATGGAGTAAAAGTTATTGCAACGTGTCATTTCAGGGGCAACAAGGGACAAGGATCGATCATCCAACTCAAAGTTATCACATGTCGAAACACAAAAGTAACCCAAATAAATTACCATTAATTAAAACTGAACTGTAAACATTTGTTAATGCTATTTTTATTTATGTGAGTAAACCTTCAATATAATTATTTGAGTACCACCTTTTCCCCCCTAAATACTTCTGAAAATAATGAGATTATACAAGGAGTCCTTGAAGTATTAAAAATCCATCAATATTGTCCTCACTATGACATTACTAATATTGAGGAAAAAATCAATACTTCAAGTACTGTAGGATGCTTTTTAATACTTTATGGACTAATTATATATTTGTTACTTTATGGACTAGTTAACGAAAAAAAATCCTTTAAATATTTAATTGATTGCTTATTCTAATTATCTTGATCATTACTTAAACTTCTTTTGTTGTCGATGGCGATACTAAATTCCTGATATCTGTACACTAAAAACTTGCACAACGTTTTGATAGTTTGCCTTTTTTTTTCCCCATAGAAATAGTTGATTTTCTTTTGACATGCATATTTCATTTTTCGCGGCAAATAAATACCCTTTAATCTAAATCTGCAAACTTTAAGGGGGGTGTATTGGATTAGGATTTTAAAAGACTTTTTTAGTTAAAAAAAATCCTACGGATTTTAAAAGATTTTGCAGGATTTTCATGACTTTTAAGATTTTGCAGGATTCTACAAGACTTAAAATCAGGATTTTAATGGATTCTGCAAGACTTTTAAATCAGGATTTTAATGGATTCTGTGGGATTTTGTAGAATTTTCATGGATTTTTGACATTTGATAAGATTTCAAAAAAAATTTCATACATTCAAATTTAAAGAGTCAAAGACAAAAATAATAAAAAAAAATAATGTCTAGAGAATTAATAATAATAATAATAATAATAATTCTCCATAATATCTTGTCCTCTTAAATAGCATTCACTCACATATCCATATCTATACTAGTCCTCCAAGCATTAGCGTATTTTCGCTCTTGTTCCTGGATTTGAATAATAGGTTCAAAAGCACGCTCTCATCGGTAACCTTCCTCATTCCCCCAATCAACACCCTCTTGTTCTTAGTCCTGAACCTGAAATCACCACCAGCAAAACCAACTTTTTAGACCAAAATTCTAGTGAGTTGAAGCTTCCTTCTCCAGATTCTGATTATGTTTCTGTTTCTGCTTCTCAGTTTAACCCCCAAGATCTTTCTCAATCAAATTCAATTACTTTTAGTGATGGACTCTCAGATTTGGATTCTTCTATTGCCAAACTCTTAGCACACAATATTTTCAATGATGCTGATTCCATTTCCCAGTTTAGGAGAGGGATGGAGGAAGCTAGCAAGTTTCTTCCTCCGGGGCCTAACCTAGTAACGGCTCTAGATTCAAAGGGAGAACAACCAATCAACACGTTTGAACAGAATTCCTATGGGTTGAAGGGTAGGAAGAATCACAAGCGCCCAGACATACAAATCAGAGAAGAAGAAGATGATGATGATGAAGAAGGGAGAAGTAACAAGCAGTCAGCACTTAGCCTTGCTGATGAGAATGACTTGTCAGATGCAATTGATAGGGTGTTTGTGTGTGTGGAAAATGTGTGTAATGAAGACATTACTTTGCATAATGGAGCAACCAAAGTTAAGGAGCCAGATAGAGGAGGAAAGAAGGGTCGTCCAAAGAAACATGGGAGAAAGAAGGAAACAGTGGATTTGAGGAATCTTCTGCTGATGAGTGCACAATCTGTGTATGCCAATGACTTCAGGACTGCCAATGAATATCTGAAGAAGGTTAGGCAGTACTCTTCTCCCACAGGGGATGCATCACAGAGGTTGGCTCATTACTTTGCCAATGGCCTTGAGGCACGCTTGATTGGGGG